CCTTTGCCGTGGGGGTTCCACTTCAAGATATCTGCAGAGCTGCAACATGGGCTGCCCCATGCACTTTCGCCAAGCATTATCGGCTGGATGTCCACACCAGACAGGACTGCTCCTTTGGCAGAGCAGTTCTCTCATCTATTCTTCGCTGATGACACCTTCCTCCTCTGAGTCTGGTAAGCTTGCTAATCACCCATATGTGTGATGCACAGAGGCCACGATGAAGAAAAGCAGGTTGCTTACCTGTAACTGATGTTCTTCGAGTGGCCATTTGTGCATTCACACAACCCACCTGCCGGCCCCGCTCAGTGTCGGTGAGTGGACGATTTTTTTCTCGGTACCATGCTTTAATATTTCGGTACCGTTGACTCTTCCTGTCATATGCTTTCAACCTCAAGGGGGAGAACGTTCGGTCTTCAAGACTGAGTAAAATGGCAGACACTCCGCCCTATTTATACCACTGACGGGGAGGGGAGGGGAGTTTTCCCACCAAAACCGTTAGCTTTCTAATCTTCCGGCCTAGGCACTGCGCAGGCACAGCACCCATATGTGTGAATGCACAGATGGCCACTCGAAGAATATCAATTACAGGTAAGCAACCTGCTTTTTTCACTGTAAGTTACTAAGCATGCAGTCCAATCACCCCTGCCCTCTGTGCATGTAAGGCTCTGATCATAGAGGCTTATGTGCAACTTATGACTTGAAAGAGGTGTGGTGCTGATTGTTTCTGCCACTCACTGATTCGTTCAACCATCTAGATTGGGGGTCCTCAAACTTTTCCACCAGGGGACCAGTTGAAAGGTGTGGGTGCTGGGCACGGGTCAGAAAAGTGGTGCCAGTTGTGCACACGGACCGGCATGGGGGTAGTGCATGCAGATGCATGCACTGAAGTGGGGGTGGGGTGCGCAGCGAGGGGAGGTGAGGCACGGCAAGGCGCAGGTGAGCACGCGCTGTGAGGTGGGCGCATGAGGCAGTGGCTTGCTCGCTTGGAGATTGTTTTCTCTGAGTGAACAAACCGTTGCCTCCCCGGGCATGGGGTGAGGTGGGCGGCAGTGGGTGCGGGAGTGCATGTAGCGGGTCCAAATAGGCATGGTGGGCTGGATAAATGGGCATGGTGGGCCAGATCTGGCCCCCAGGCCATAGTTTGAGAAACCATGATCTAGATAAAGGGTTGGGGAGGGGAGAGTGTCTGGGACACCAGTGAGAATCAGTGTAAGTCCTTGGCCACAGACTCCTCCCCTCTCCATGCCTGGTGTGCCCCCTTTTTCTCCTACATGCAAGATCTTGGGGAGGCAGCTGGCATAGTTCGTTCCATATCACAAGATTCTGCAATAGGTCTTCTGATAATCTTATGCCCACCCCAACAACATAGGAAGGCCATCAGACTGCACCCTTTGCCTTGGTTAGCAGAACAGTGGAACAGCCTGCTCACTGGACAATTTAGGGTTTATTTTCTATGAAGATTAAAAACAAACCAAATAAGTGCAACAGCCACCAGTTTCCCATTTCCTTATTTGACTTGCTCATTTATAGTTTGCTCATTGTTGCACACTGGCATAGCCATCAATATAAACACTTTTCTTCTGTACAAGTTTGGAAAATATATTTTATGGGCAATACTTTGAGCATGTTTTTTCCAGGGCTTATGTTCTGTAGACAGTGATTTGATTTGCTGCACATCTGATCAGCAGATTGCCATTTATATATATAACATATGGGAGTTTGTTGCCATTTTGCTGTGATTTGCAGGATCATCTTGAAAATAAGTGGTTTTAAATTTTGTGATGCTATATTTGTTATGTGTGGAAATGTGTTTAGCAAAACAAAATTCTAGTTTATTGACCAGTCTTGTAAATAGTATATATTTTATTTAAACTTTTGTGGTGGGGGGGGGTCATCATTAGAAGTGGGCCAACAAGGGATGCGATCTACTATCAAAAAGAAACTTTAAACCAAGGAAACTGAGGCAACAGTTCCGAAAGACAACCAAACTGGGTTGCCTCAGTGAGGGCATCTCTCTTCTTTTGGGGACTTCCAGCTTAGTGTAGTTTGCATTTAGAAAATCCCAGGTTCAAGCTCAAGCATCTTCATTTAAAAGGATCTCTGGAGAAAGGCAACAAATTCCTTTGCCTGAGGTCCCAGGGAATCACTGGCAGGCAGAGGGTGTTTCCAGATGGAGGACTCTTATTACTCTTGCGCAGCTGTACCAACTTTTCTTCATTAATGGGTTTTCAGCAGGAAGCAAAAAGGCAGAAGAAATGGTGGGAAAAGATAGGAAAGATTGAAATGGAAGATGATGATGCCTGGAGTACCCATCACTTTTCACAAGGAAGGCAGAGTAAAAGACTTACCTGGGAGCACCCAGAGCCAATAGTACTGGGTTAGACGGACCAATGGTCTTTCCTGGTATAAGGCAGCTTCATCCATTCAGATGAGCTCTCTGGTTCTATGGTGCACGTTCTTTCTATCTCTTGTACATGCAGGGCTTGCCCTACTGCTGAGTAGAATGATGTAGCTGTGTCAGGCAGCAAAAGCTCACCTGGCACCCTTACCTTTTCTTCTGAATCCTCCAACTCTCTGGGTGCTTTGGAGGCAGCACTCCAGTGGCAAGATGCTAGCTTGTTGCTGGCTTGATGTGGCAGGAGGCCTTGCTTGGTCTCCTTCTTCCAAAGCATCACAGGCTGCATCTTTGGAATTGAAAGTCATACTGTCAGTTTCATATTACCCTCATACAAATCTATGGTGCAACCACACTTAGAATATTGAGTTCAGTACTGGTTGCCACAACTAAAAGGGGCATTGTACAGTTAGAAAAAGGCAGAAGAGGGTACCTAAAAGGATCAAAGTGTTGGAGAAGCTTCCTTGTGAAAAACAGCTGAGAAAGCTTAGCTTAGGGAAAGGTGAGTAAGGGGAAGTATGAGAGAGGTCTACAGAATTAGGTATGGTTTGAAGAAAGTGGAGAAGGAGATGCTTTTCTTCTATAATACTATAGACTGTTGTGAATACTAGAAACCCATGAAGCTGATTGGTGGGAGATTCAGGACAGATAAAAGGAAATACTTCTTAGTACTACAGTACTTAGTGAACTATGGGATTCAGTTCCACATGAAGTAGTGATGGGCACTGATTTGGACGGCTTTAAAAGGAGAGTGGACAAATTTATGAAGCAGCGGTTTATTAATTACTAGTAGTCCTGATGGCCACATGCTGCCTCCAGTGTCAGAGGCTGTGTGTCTTTGTATACCATATGCTGGGGATCTTGGGCATATCCTGCTTTTGGGATCCTGTGGGCAGCTCATCGACCAGGGTGTGAACAGAATGGGGAACTAGATGGATCGTGGAAATGATCCAGCATAACATTTTTGAATGTCGTTTATGTGCCTGACTAAGCCCACAGGCCAAGAGGCAGGAGCCTCGGGTCCTGCCTTCCAGCAGGTCTCACGCCTTGCTCTGCAGGTGTGATGCAAACAGCCACTGCTGCAGTCATCTGCGCAGGCTTCAGGCAGGTGCCAGGCAAAGAAGAGTGGAAGCCTCAGAATGGGTGCTGGATGACAGAACACTGCGTGCCCCTGACCTGACCTGTGGCAGGGGATCCTGCCCCGCTGACTGTCCTGGCATGCTGAGAATGAAAGAAGCAGTTGTGCTTGGCACACGTTTCCAAGTCAGGAAGATTTGGACTCTTCAGATGGAAAGGGGGGTCCCTGTGAAACAAGGCCTGCAGATACCGAGGTGGGAGAAGTGGATGGCCTACCTCAAGGCTGCGCCCTCCAGGTGTTCAGGCAGACCTTGAGAATAGCTTGGAGCTGCAACTGCCGTGAGGGGGCATGGGGCAGGAGCTGCAGGGGCCAGCCAAGCCTGGTATGACTCTTGATGCCATGACGGGACATCGGGAGAGAAGGGCTAGCCAACTGGAGGGGGGCGAACAGAGGAGAGGCTTCTCGGTTTCCCCAGAGTTACTCAAAAGGAGGATACTCGGAAGCAGTTACTAGATGTGCATGTCCAGAGACTCATTCTGTTGTGATGCTGTTTCCTGAATGTACTTTGGAGAACAAAGAGCTTTTGCCAAAGAGCGGTCTGTTGCTTTGCAAGTACGAAGGGGGGAACCTGGCTGCCGACACAAAGTGAGAATCAACTGCCAGTATGACCTGCTTGTGTATGTTGAACTGGGCTGGTGGAGTTGGTGTCTTTTGTGTCTTGTCTCAGGCAGCCAGATGTTTTGAGTCAGCCCTGCATACAGACCATGGTTCTGACACCTGTGCCTGCCTCCCATGTCCTCCTTCAGCCCTGCATCTCCATGTACATGTAGTGTGATTTGCTTGAGCCAGGGTACAGTGTAGTGAATGGAGTGTTGCCCTGAGGCTCCGGAGGCCTGGGCTGGAAGCTCCCTGGGTGACTTTGGGCCCTCACCTGCTTAACAAGGTCATAGTAAGGCTAAATGCATGGTGGTGGAGACACGTAAGCTGCTTTGGGTTCCTTGCAAGAGAAAAAACAGGTGGGAAATTAATAATAAGGAAGAGGAGAAAGAGGAGAGGGCAGAGGTGGTGGCAGCACAAAGAGAGAGGGCCAAGTGGCAATATAAGGAGCATTCAAAGGCCTCCCCTTCCCTATATTGTAGTCTGCTGCTAGTCCATGCAAAAAGGGCTGCAGGGGAAACAGGATCCTTTCAATGCTGGGAGGCTGCCTTCACAAGTGGGCAACCACCTACCCTAGGATGAGTTCCCCTCAGAATATTGTATTTTAAAACAGAGCCTTAGGAAGGTGCCTTATATCAAGCCCCTCCATTGGTCCATCTAGCTCAGAACTGTCAACATGGACTGGCAGTGTTTCTGCAGGGATTTGGGCAGGGATTTCCTCTGCTGCTTGCTGGAAATGCTGCGACTCAAACTTGCAACATTTTGAAAGGGGGGCCAGTGGGTTTAGTGTACAGGTCAAAACCTCCAAAAATCCAGCAGAGAGATATGGCTCATACAGTTTATAATATACCTGTTTTTCTCCCCTTGAAGCTTATTCAAAAGCTGACAGACGTAGCAGAGGAATGCCAGACCAATCAGTTGAAGAAACTGAAAGAAATTTGTGAAAGGTAAGTGTTTCGGGACTGGAAGGAGAGAAGGCTCCTCTTCCTATTGGGCTCTTTCTTGAAAAGGGTTCTCCAAGAAAGGGAATTCCTAATTGCCCACCACCACTCAGATAAATTCCTCCAGCTGCTTGGAGAGTTTTTGAGCCTGTTAGTAAATTCCCCTCACTTCAGCCCAGCCCTAGGAAAAATGAACAAGGAAGCTACTTGGATTTTTTTCCCCTTAAGCCTAGAACTTGGCTAACCTTGTGAAAATTCTGGATAGTGCTGTAACCATGTCGGTCTCTGCATAGGGAAGAGGTTTTTCGTGAGTTTCCTTTTTAAACAAAGCCTCCAAATGCCCACATAATACATATAGAAAGAGAGAAATAGAGCTTATCTGGAGAAAAGGAAGAAAGGGGTCACAAACAAGGAAATTCAGCAGTCACATTCATGCACAAATACACATACTGAGAATTCCAGATAAAATCAATAGGACTTGTTGTCCAGCTGGGTGGAGCCCTGTGCTCCAGAACAAATTCATTGCTCATTGCAGGGAGGATGGTCTCAGAGAAAGCATTTTTGCCTTTGGCTTATGGTATGTGGATGGCTACAGAAGAAGTAAACCCATGCATGCATTTATGCAAATCTTTGCTCAGTTCTGAATGGTGGCTGGGAAAGAACTGGGGAAGATGGTGGGAGTCCCTCCTATTTATACTAAAGGGAGAGGAGGTGGGGCTTCTGCCAAATTTTCCCAACAATAGGCATTGTGATGGCACAGAGCCCATGTGCGTGATGCACAGAGACTATGAAGAAGAACCTCCATTTCTGATGTTAGTTGTTTACCAGCAAGACAGAAAATTGCTTAGTGGCTGGATCCACCTTCTTAATGAGTCTCACTTCCATCTCAACGCTGAGACAGTCTGAAACAGTTAACCTATGAGAGAGAGAGCGTGCACACACTTAAAGTAACGGTTGCATTTGTGAGGACAAAAAAGCAAGAAAAGGCTAGATAAAGTTATTCTGGTTATCTGGAAGGGTGCTAACCTACCAGGTGCTCTAGGGGGCACTACTGAGCTATATATGAAATTGGTGTGAGGCACTTTGTAAGACACACTGGAAATAAGCAAACTGTTGTCTTTAAGACTGCAGTCGAACACATTTACTGGAGAGTAACCCCACTGAAAATGACGGTGCTTACTTCCAAAGAAGCACACGATGGGCTAGCACTGTCAATTTGTTAACATTTTCCCTTTATTGCAGAGAAAAGAAAGAACTGAAGAAAAAGATGGACAAAAAGAGGCAGGAGAAAATCACTGAGGCTAAATCAAAGGATCGAAGTCAAGTGGATGAGTACGTACTGCCTTCAACTCTTCCTCTAATTTTTTGCCCAGGAGTTACCGGGGAAAAAAAACAATAAAACACTGAAGGCTGTGTGTGTGTTTGTCTGTGTTTTTTGATTACACCTTTTAAAATTCATAGACTGCACCTATAGCCCTGGTAGGGCTCACTCCATGGTGTATATTTCAGTGATGCTGCTTGCAACCCTTATTTGTTTAAAAGGTTTATATTCCACCTTTTGATTGAATGAAGGGGGATTACAATAGATTATAATCGTGCACACACACAACAGCTCTTACTTGGTATAGTCCATATGGTTAAACCATACTGAAATCTCCAACAAGTTGGGCAGCTTATGTGCTATCCAGGTTAATCTTACTTAATTATACTAATGTATAGATAATTTGTAAACAATAGCTTTGTGGCACAATTATTTTTCACTATATTTTTCACTGATAACTTGAGGTACACAATAATTGAACAGAATTGGTCATTTTTAATCTTGTCCCAGGGAGAAGACAGAAATGATTCGGTCTTACATTCAGGAGGTGGTGCAATACATTAAAAGGGTGAGTATTTGCATACGCCATGGAGATATCAGGCAAATTTTAGTAGTTATGCTGATTTGCTTAGAGTAATGCTGTTAGAGTAATAGTAAATGTATAAAGTTGTAACAGTTGTATTTTCATTCAGAGAAAATAGTGTTAGCCCTAATTTTAGTGTTAGCCCTCATTCAGTGTTAGCCCTAATTTTATTACATTGAGCTTTTATGAAATTGTTTTAGACTTTTAAGACAGCCTAAACACTCAAATTTAAACTTGTTTTCCATCTTCTTTCATCTATAAAGGAGTAGAGATGTATGAACTTCATTAAATACATACTGGTCTACATTTTACGAATATTCAGGCACCTTTCATTTCATTGTCCACTCATTGATGGAACTGAATTTTGTGCAAATACATTCATGGACAATTGTGCAGATCTGCACAAGTCCCCCCAAGATGCACATTTTCAGGGGTTTTTATTTTTTATGTTTTTCTTCCTTAGAACTATGAAAATTTATATGGCATAGAATTATGATTTTTAAACAATGATCCACAAGTCCACAGAACTCAGGAAAAGCCAGTCCACTGTAACATCTTCAGGACTGAATCTGCTTGTGGATTTTACCAACATCCCTCATCAAGACCTCCTTTCTTGCTATGTAGGATGTGTTCAACTGTTCCTTCACAGCATGAACACATCCAGCATGTGAATAAATGTGAAGGAATGCGGGTGATGTGAAGGTCTGGTGTTTATAGAGGAACTGAAGGCAATAGGAAATTTAACCACCAAGTTTCTCTTTCTTCAAGGCAAAGTGATGCTGGGAGATTTGAGAAGTATTTCCTTAACAGTCCCCAGCTGTGCATTACAAGAAGCCCTAAGAAGTTGCAAAAAAAAAAAAAAAACTGTAAAGGGATGCCTGTGAAAGGAAAGCCCCTTGGCTTGACTTCTCCAGAGTAGTTGCAAGTTGAGCTAGCTCATAGCCTTTTAGGAGCTCAGTGGCAGAGTCAAGGTCTGCTTCTGCCATCTTCCCTTCCATGCCCTGTCTCCAAAGAGCCCAATGACTTACCTGCAGCAGTGAGGAAGACATCAGGAGCAGTGGAAGAACAGCAACAGCAGGTGCTACATGTTCCATTCTAGGACTACACGTCCCAGCCCAAGAAACCTACATTATTTTGGTGGTGCAGGCCCAGGGCCAGATCCAGCCCAGCTGGAGTCCCCACTGAGCCCTCCCATGTTTCCCAGATGGCTTTGCACCCTTTCCCTGGGTGCTGCAGTGTTTCAACTCTTCTATTACATATACTAATTGCTTTAATCATCAAAAATTATTTTTCATGTCAAAATATTCTGCTAAACCTAATCACATTATACTGTACTACGTCAAATACAATTACTACTTCCGTATAGAAGTGAAGAACTAAAATGCTAGTGCTGATCATAAATGAAATAGTGTTTCATTGCTTTGTTACAGCTTGAAGATGCTCAGAGTAAAAGGCAGGAAAGACTTGTGGAGAAACACAAGGAGATTCGTCAGCAAATACTGGATGAAAAACCCAAGGTAAGGGAAGTTAGACTCTAACGTGCTTTGTGAAAATTAGTCTGGTGTTAGGTTGAATTTTGATCTGGCTGTTGATTATGAGTGTAACTACAACTACAACAAAGAAACATGTATATTGCTGTTATTGCTGTTAAAGCCGCTGATTATCTGTGCAAATCATACCATGTGAAGAACATCTTTGACCAGAAGAGGGCGCAATGCACTGCCCAATTTTTAGGAGTGCAAACTTTTTCATCTGGGAATAAGGGGAAAGATTTTTGAAGCAAGCAAATATTCAAGAATGTTTTTTTTAATCTAACAAAATACTTAGAGAACTGGCATCCTACAAAAAGCTCACACACTAGAGTGGAACTATCTCGCACAACGCTGATGTCAATTATGGTGTGTTTTGTGCGGTGTGTCCATTCCGCATCTCAGCTGAACAGATGGCACTTGTGTACACATTGACATAATGACATGTTCATTTTGTTTGTTTTCTGTTCTCCTATAGAAAGGGCTGATGATTAGTTACCGGTATTTCAAATAGCTAATTGTGGCAGCAGTTCATATATATAAAATTAATTTGTGGCTTTCTTGTACAAATTTTGATAGGTCAATCAACAAAAGCAGACAAATATCTTAACAAAGTTTTAGACCATGTATTTTCTTGATGGCCTTACTGATGATACTCCATGAAACTTGTTAAACTGTTGGACATGTTTATCTCCTATGAACTTAAAGACCTTCTTCTTTTGGACACTTTCAACATGGAGATTTATCTTATATAGCAGTCATTTCATGCAGTTTACGGGGGCAGCAGGGGAGGAGACTGTAGTAATAGCATGTTTTCTGTTTCCCTATGACCGAATTAGGAATGCTGCAGCAATTGAACAAATTCTGTTTCCAGTGCAAATGTTGTAGTTTCCTGAAAGGAGACAATTCTCCTAAGACAAACTCTATGCAGTAGTTTACTGTTCTTGTTGCAAGCAGTGGGCAGCTCTTGCATTTGGATGCACATTCTGGCATGCACTGTTATATACAAATACCAGTCAGGATTCTCTGAATGCCAGAGCTTATGTAACCAAAACAGCTCCATCCAGAAGGAGGAGTTGTTGGCAGCCTTGGGGAAACCCAGTGGCTTGCTCAAGTATACATTTAGAGGGAACCCCACCATCAGCCCTGTGAGGATGGCAGTGGATGTGGGGTGCAGGCTGATCTGAGGCAGGGGAGTACAGAAAGCCAGCAGAAGTGGAAGAGTGGAGTGGACCATTCTGAGTTTTCCTTGGACTTCCAAGATGATGGGGCAGAAAACTGGAAAGCAGAAATAAAAGGGCAGGTTTCTCACATCCCCCAGCTGGATGCTTTTAACTAGAGTGCTTCTCATTATTTTTCTGTAAGGTACCTTGCCTTAAGTGTTACCTAAGAGATCCAAAGTTCACAGAAATTGTAACTAATGTAACAACTAAACCAGCATCTTTAAGCAAATCCTTTATCCGGCTCTTTTAGTTACCTACTATGTGTGTGTTTCAGTAAAGAAGTTATGGAAACACCAGTTCTTGCAGTTTAGCATCTCATCATCATGTCACAAACCAACCCAGGACTCTTATTTACTTATTAGATTTATATCCCACTTTTTATATCCCCTAAAAAGGGGATATTCTCCTCCTCCTCCTGCTTTCAGTCTTATCGTCACACCAGCAACAACTTTGTGAGGTAGGTTGAGTCACCCAGTTGGCTTCATGGCTGAGCGGCGACTAGAACTCTGATCTCCTGAGTCCCAGTCCCATGCTCTTAACCACTACACCACACTTTTTGTATATATTGTATACAAACTTTTAAAAAAGTCTACCCACTCTAACCTTTCCCTTCCTCTTGATTCCTCCCTTCATTGATGGAGACTAAAATGGAAACATCCAAGAAAGGACATACGAAATAGTGTGAAACACAGTTTGGCCTTTACTTGAATGTATTGCATTGGGGGTTGTGTGGCAACAGATCAAGATTAGAATCTGCTTGGGAAGATCAATGTCTGGGAGATTGGTCCGGTTTGGCTTCCCACATTTTGGCCCATCTATCCAGTGCTAACATTGATTTGCTCAGGCTGCAATTCATAGAACTATAAAATTGTAGAGTTGGCCATGAAGTCCAACCCCCTGCTGTTGCAGGACACCAAGCTATACCATCCCACTCAGATGGCTACCCAGTTTCTTTTGCAAATGAAAGTATATAATTTTGTAAATTTTAAGGTATATAAATTGGTACAGTTATTGCCCAGTTTGCAGAATCAGCTACCATTTTCTGCAAATTATTCAAACACTACCCATACTTTGTATAGACAGCAACCTGCCTTTTAAAAATGCTAACTGTGGCCCACTTTAAAAGCAGACTCTGCCCCCCATCCCCCGCCAACATCATCCCTGGTTCAGCTTGCTTCTGGCTCTGGAGGTGGCAACGTGTGGAAAGGCCACAAAGCACAAGTGGATGGAATGGATGGAGTCCAACATCTCATTCTTACTTGAGATATTGCTGTAATCGTTGTTCCAAGTATGATTTGGTCTTCACTGAAAAAGTACTAACAAAAAACAGTTTAGGCATATGCAGGTACACCCAGCTTATACTTCAGATGACTTTTACCTGTAATTGCTTGATGTCAGAACATCTGCTGTTGCGGGGGGGGGGGACGAATTTCAACTGTCCTATTTTTAGCATACCTGTCCAGAAGTCTAGAGGTGTCCTCTAATTGTAATTGCTTCCCTGGTTGTGCAGATATTAGAAATTCAATAATGCAGGAGACAGTTTCCTATTATAGATGCCTGAATGAGTAGGAGGACATGCTCTTCTTCCTCCCCATGAGAAAGTGAGCACTTTTGAAAATATTACTGTTGATCTAGAGCTATTTAATATATTCATTAATGATCTAAAAGAGGAAATACAAAAGTACACAACTCATATGCTCAGGTAATACTGGGAAAGATTGCAAGTACTTTTCAGGCCAGGGTCATAAAGAAAATTGGGAGGAGGGGGAAGGGGACAGAAGTAAAAAGAATTCCATCTAATAAGGACAAATGCTAAGTACTGCAGCTGGGGAGGAATAACAGCCTTACTACCTGGAAGGCCTTTTCTGCAGTGCTCTTTGCTAGGAAGAAATCGTGAGGATCCTAACCAATCAGCTGATTAATGATCAGCAGCATAGTGCAATGCAAATGCCACATGCATATGGCAGAGGAGATACTTCTCCCTCTGCCATTAGTGAAGCATTTGTTGGACTGGTATGTCATTGCCATAACTTTCGGGAAAGACATCTGGGAGCTGAAATTGTCCAGAGGTCTGGATAATATCATATATAACAAGTTGGGCATGTTTAATTTGGATAAAAGAAGATGAGTGGCTTTAATAAATAAATGTAGTTTGTGGTGTGTTGCTCAAGAATATGTTTCTCACCTCATCTACTGTTTGTGAAAGTAAAGCCTTAATTTCTTTCTTTAGTTGAGTTTTCTCTTCCTCGCTTGCTTCCCTGTCACTCTGATAGAACTTGCTATCGTTGTTGAGTCTAAATATTCATACGTTGTTCTAATTTTGGTGTAATTCAGTTCAGCTACCATAAATAGGATAGGAACCATTCATTATACTTTTCTGCTATAGAAATGAAGAAATAGTGGGGTTGAGCTGTGATCTCAGTGGTCTAGGGTAATGATGTAAAGAACAGCCTTGGTCGAATTCAAGAGTAGGTTGTTTAAAGATGAGGTGGGGCTCCATCACTAGGGTTCATATAAAGCAAATTGAACAAGCACGTGGTTTGTTCATTTGTTCTATGTTATACCATTTCTTAACAAAATATTCTCAAAATTATTTACCTTGTACAATGTAGTGTGGAAACATGTTTAAATAAAGTTGTTTTTATGCAAGTTCTTATGCGTGTAGACTTCCCGCTCTACAGCAAAGGAACAGCGTATCTCTAAGCATGATCAGGGTTCCTGAATATGCTGAGACTGATAAGCATGCTCATGTCTAGATACTGGAGCAGAACCTCAGTGCACACCCCTGCTTCTTACAGACCTTGAGCATTCACTCAGTCGGGTGAGCACCTGGATGGAGCTTAATTCCTATTCAGTTTCTGGCAAAGTGTCATCCTTCCCTGTGAGGGAAGCGCCCACCTGCCAGAGTAGATCCTAGACTGAAGCAGATAACGATGTCTGCACCAAGACGACAGATGCTGCGTTTCCACAGGTCTTCATAGAAGCTGGTGGCTTAATGGCTGTTAAAACCATCATAAGGAAGAGAGGATGGATTTTGCCCTCCTGAATCTGTTCTAATAATATCCTTCTGTAAGAAAGTCTTGGCTGATGGCAATTTCTGCTTGGATGCCATCAAAGACATGGCCGTACCTCATGAACCATGATCCTTTCATCCATAAAACTTACATCAAATTTTGTACTTTCGACTATAGCAAAGCTGGTGCTAACAACCTAATAGCTCTGCCAGCAATCCTTTTGAAGTTGCACGTGGTGGTGGTTGATGTATAGCTCCACTTTATCTTCACAACAAGAGCCCTGTGAGGTAGGTTGGGCTGAGAGTCTGTGACTGGCCCACAGTCACCTGGTTGGTTCCGTGGCTGAGTGGTGGGGACTAGAACGCACATCTCCAGAATTTCAGTCCAGCACTCTTACTCCCACAACATACTGGGTCTCAGGTTATATTGCCTGATTCTCAGGATTTGTTTTCAGGCAGCTTACAGCTTACCTCACTTTATGGGAAGCCCTCAGCCTCGCCTCTATCCTGCCCCTGCCTGATGGCATATCCTTCCCATCATCTGATTCTTAGGATGAGTCCTTGCAGTTTCTTCTGCCGTTCAGCCCTAAATGAGCAGAAACATATCCTGCTCCTTTAGGAACTGCAGTTAGTGTTCAGGAGTATTGGAAACACAGAGAGACCAGGCTCACTTTACCTTCTTGTAGTTTTTTGCTGAGACAGCAGTTCCTTCTAGGAGAATGCTTCCTGCAGTCCGCTGTCCGGCATATTCA